AGCCCCTCTCTCTAAGACCCTTTGGATGTCGGTCTTTGCTTCATTTCCATTTCTCGTTTCTCAAGGACACGTGACTTTTGTACTTCAATAGACTTTCCCTTGGCAATTCGTAATTTCCTACCTACTTGGCATTTCCCTGTTCCTAAATACCTCACATACAAGGATCCTGAAGCATGAAGTCCAGCTTAGGTCCTGGATGAGGCTGAGGAGGAAGCAACAGGTCTTCTGGCTCACTTCCCTCTGCAAGGTCCTAGGCTTTCTCTTCCTCGCTCTCCCTTCACTGCCAGGGTGAGGGGAGCCTCACCTCTGCTCTGTCTAGCTCTTCTCTATAAGTGATCTTTGCCAAGGCTGCCCCTCAGTCCTACTAATAATAAAATTAATTTCTGGGCCTCAGGCTTTGAATTGCTAACTTGAAGACTCTTAGCACTTAAAAAAAAGGTTTATTTGTTTATTTTGTATACAGTGTTCTGCCTGCAGGCCATAAGAGGGCCCCAGATCTCTTTACAGATGGTTGTGAGCCACCATGTGGTGGTTGGGAATTGAACTCAGGATCCCTGGAAGAACAGCCAGTTCTCTTAACCTCTGACCCATCTCTCCAGCCCCCGACTCTTAGCACTTTAAGACGATCACATTCAAGGAGCTTTCCAAAGTTTCTTCCTAGTTTTCTACTCCCACCTCTTCACGTATCCTGATACGGGCCCTGTCCACTCCAGGCTCTGCCCTGTCCACTCCACGCTGTCCCCCTGTCCACTCCAGGCTGTCCCCCTGTCCACTCCAGGCTGTCCCCCTGTCCACTCCACGCTGTCCCCCTGTCCACTCCACGCTGTCCCCCTGTCCACTCCACACTGTCCCCCTGTCCACTCCACACTGTCCCCCTGTCCACTCCACGCTCTGCCCTGTCCACTCCATGCTCTGCCCTGTCCACTCTCCATGTTTACAACAACTTGATACACAGTGTTTCTTTCTCTGCTTCTCATGTCTTTGCCCTGTAGCATCCATGGGTCTGCTTGCACTGTTCCATGAGTCATTGACTTTTGTTCCTTAACTGAATTCACAGGCTTGGGACTGATGTGCTCATCCATTAGCTCAGGCAGGCCAGTCCAGCACCACCTGGAGTACAGCCTATGGATTTTTAATGATTTGGCAAGGCTTTGCAATACTGGGAAATACTTTAAAAGTCTCTGCTTACATCATTCCTCCTGAAGTGATGTAACTAACAGACAGGCTAAAATCAGCTAAGCTACGGAAAGCTCAAATTCCTGTCATCCATCTAAATTCATGAGGACTCTGATAATTCAGGCTCCACCGCTTTCGTCTTTGGGTGGCTCCTCTGACTGTCATCCTTGGTATATTCTCCATGGGTTACTCTGTAGGGTTGCCTTTTTTCTCGGTCTCTAGTAGCAAAGAATGGAATTCAGGCTAGACCTGAATACAGTGAAAACTCAGAAGGGGACAGTAGTCATTTGCCCACGGCAGGTCTACTGTGACGCCGTCTCATAATTACCCCAGACACACATTACGATCGGTTATAAGCTTCCTTTCTAGGAGCAGATCCTGCTTCCTTTTCTGTTATGTCCATACAAGGCCATGCATTGTTTCCCTACAAAACCATCGCTTCAGCTTTGTGAGGATTACCACAACAAAATGGGACAACAAAAATCCATCATCCCAAAGGTCAAGAGGGCTGAAGCCTGAAATAAGAGTGTTGGGAGAGCGAATTCCTGTCAGGGGCTGGGAAGGCTCTGTCCGCCTCAGGCCTCTGTCCCATGCTGTATGGGTCATTTTCATGTTCATGCAACACTCCCCCATAACTAAGCCTGTACCTAAGTCCCCCACCTCTGTAAGGACATCAGTCACACTGCCTTCTACAGCAGGTCCTGTCTCAAGTAAGATCACTTCCTGAGGTACTGGACCAACATGTGACTTCTGGGGAAGCTGCTGAACCCCATCAGCCACCCCTATTCTTTCCTTCAGCTTTGGTTTTATGCCCCAATGCACCCCGCTGCCCTGTGGGCTCGACTTCATTCACTTTGATTAGCTCAGCTTGTCCAAACTACCAGTTACACCCACTTTCTAATTTCTTTCTGCCCTGGGCTGTGGCTGTAGTGAGTTCATTGTGTTCTCCATAAAGATAGTTATCACTTCGGTATTTCAAAACTGTAACCATCTATTATTTGAAGCCGGCTGCCAGAGAGATCACAGCAGCCATGAAACGTCGGGGAAAAGGTAAGTTCTCTCATGACTTTGAAAACGTATCAACTCTAAATGAGAAGTTTGCTTTCACTGTATAGGTGGGGAATTTATTTTCAGTATCTTTTTTAGATAAAACCTGGGAATCTAACGTACAGGTATCAAAATGGCTGTAGATGATAGTTTTGTAATCTACGGTTGACTTTCAAATCGGCATCACAGGGTTCCCTTGACTCTCACAGGTCAGCGGGGCTCTCGCTCCCTCCTAACTTAGGCTGTTTAGCAACTGACTGAAGTTTGTTAGTCCAGCCCCAAGTTCCCCCTTTCCCACGTTCTAAAGTCATTCTCAATGTTACAACAGTCCAGGAAACATTAGCCATGACTTACTGTGAAAAAATCCGTCGCTATATTTCTCTGCTTTCAATCCATTTTTTATCCCTCATATTGAGCATCTTAATAAAAGTTAATTATTCCAGGACACTCCTCTAACCTTCTCATAATGAGATTTAAGGGAATTTGTAAAAGTTGAAATTGAGAGATAATTCCCTAACAGGTTAGGAGCTCAGGAGTCTCCATTTACATATTACTTTGACTCTGCCACCGAAGCGGAACTCAGAGGCATGGTGCTCTGTTAACAAAGGCCTGCCTCGGTGCTTAAATGCTGTCTAAAAGCAGCTGGGAAGGCTCTATGACTTCCCCTTGTTTCAGACTTCATTACTGGAGGAACATTACATACTAAGGAATATTTATCTCCTTTAATTAGACTAAAATAGGTGAAGGGTCAGGTTCTAAAACTGACTACATCAGCTTAAAGGACACAAAGTAACTCCAACCTGAAGAATTAAAAGACACTCAGATGCTAACACCAGGAAAGCTACAGCTAAGGAGCTACAACTTAAAACATTCCTGAATATTCCACTTCAACCAGAACCTGAGGGTGAGATCTGCTACATACTCCATCACCTGTAACTCTCAGAAACCCCAGGAATCACTAACTGTGCACTGACACACTGTATTCGGTTCTGAACTTCAGGATATCGTATGTAAATTCCACAATAACGTCCTGTGTCAGACCCCCTAGTAAAGGCAAGTAACACGGGCTTTGGTCAGGAGACCTCTACAGAGCACACACCAGGCCTGAACCTCTGCCTGCTGGTGAGAGGCCATCTAATAGTGCATTGTGTTTAATCTGATGAGTCCCACATACTGCCACCTGACAAGAGAGTCAACATAAAAAGTGGGGTTTTCCATACCGAGGCCCTGAAATCCAGGGTGCAAATACTCAGAGACCAACCTCGTGTAGCCAGTGGCTGCTGGGGAGCTTTAAGGGGAGGAATGAAGTCAGCTGGATGACATCTTACCCAGAGGCCTCTGGGCCTGTTATATCACACACCCGATGAAAGTCACAACTTCTACGTCTCCGAGAGCAGACAATGAAATGATGCAGCAGGCATGAAGCACTGAGCCCACGCCACAGCACATGCACAGCAGTTCCGCCCCTCGGTGTGTGCCAAAGCTATAAGCAACACACATGTTCTAGGATTTAAAAGTACTAATCTTTGACAAGACATCAGAACTATAAATAAAACTAGTTAATAATAAGCATTTTGGAGCATCAAAGTGCCCAATAAGACTGAGTTTGCAAAGACAGGAAGTTATACCAGCTAAAGAGAAACGGAAACTAATGCGAAATTCATCCTTAAGAACAGCCAGAGAGACAGCTCAGTCGGCAAGGATGCTTGCTACCAAGCCTGAAGATTCCCTGGGACCTACACAGTACAAGAAAAGAACTGACTCCTACAGTTGTACCCTGGCCGCTCCCATGCGTACACACACACACACACACACACACACACACACACACACTCTAAATGAATTAGTGAATTAACTCTGAAATAATAACCATAGTGATGATACTAAAGACCTAATATGGGGAAAGATTTAACAGAGTTAAGAGGACACGGAATAACATCTGAATACTCTACATCAAGAAATTAAAAATTACATGAGCGAATGTAGTTTACACACAGTGTGTTTTCTGCTGGTGTTTTGATACTTTTTGGCCAAGCAGTAAATTAGACAGTTCTGATAAAAGCTGTGGTAAAACAGATAAAAATCAACAATGCCTTATAAAATACCAATAAGCAGTAGATTTCAAACTATTGGGGCACAATTATTTCTATTTACAAGCGGATAACATGTATGATAAGAAACAGTCATCTGATTCAGTGTTGTGCACCTTAGACATCCTATGCGCACACTAGTGAAACCTGAATGAGGCGGAACACAAATGCTCTCTTATGTCACCCCAACTCTTGTTCCAGCCTCAACTGCCTACCCCAAAAATCAGCTTAAGCTCCAGTTGCAGCCAAAGACTGACAAACTTAGCAATATGGATTAAGTCTTACAGCGTTCATTACTGGCAAGCTACTGATCAAGACGTCGTCTGTCGAAACATGACTTCTTAAAACTCATTAAATATGCAGCTTACTCTACGCACTAAGGCGCACCCCTTCTACAAAACACAACCCTGACCACACTGTGGTTAGGAGTCTCAGACAAACACGGGCAGTCACAGCTTACGGTGACTCAGGAGAGGAACTACATACTCACACTACACTGCAATGTTTTAGAAAGTAAAGTGGAAATGCAGAGAGAAAATGCATCAACGTAGGAATAAGCTAGCGAGGGCGCAGACGGGCCACAGAAAGAACATCTGAATCCTCTTCTCGTTATGGAAGTTTTTAAAACATGAAGTAATGTTAGATTGCTCTTCTTATTCCAGCAAAATAAGAAATGTTGGCAATGAAAACAGGACAAAGTACACATGGTTTATTTTATTTAAAAAAAATAGAAAAAAAGAAAGAAAGAGGAAAAAGAAAGGTCCGTGGCTTCTGTCAGGAGGCCTCCAATCCGTGCCCCATGGATGCTGTCTTGGGGCTGCCTGAGTATCTTCCCATCACGGCAGCCGGCCTCCCTTCCAGGGAGTAATTCTACTGGGAGCGTCAAGAGGAAGGCACAGAGCCTCCACTGTCTGGCTCTGAAGTGGTGACCATCATCACGTCAGTCAAAAGCTGATCATCAGTCCAGCACGAACTCAAGGGAGAGAAGATGGAGCCCCTTCTTCTGAAGAGGGAAACACAGAAGGCTGGACACAGGATAAAACTGCGGTAAGCCCTCAATCCAAGGCACCTTCATCCTCAGACATGCAGGTCCCTGGAGCCATCCTGTCTACCAAGCAAGCTGCTCTACATCCTCACATGCACAGTCTAGTCGCCTCTCCGTTTGCATCGCTGCCGCCATGCTGGTCTACATCCTCACATGCAGTCTAATCGCCTCTCCGCTTGCATCGCTGCCGCCATGCTGGTCTGACAGCATGCTGATCTCCTTCCTAGACTTGTGGAACGACCTCCAGCTTCTGCTTGTGCCTTTTAATCCCTTCTGCACATGGAAACCACCAAAGCTCGCCTTATTTTGTACTGTATTATTTTTTAAAACAAGGTCTCATGTAGACTAGGCTGGCTTCAGACTTGCTATGTAGCAGAGGGTGACCCTGAACTTCCAATCTCCTCCTGAGTGTCGTACCCTAAGCCCAGTTTATCCAGTACTGGGGACCAAACCCAGAGCTTAAGGCCTATTAGACAAATACTCTACCGGCCTAGCTACATCCCCCATCATCCTTTTAAAACCTAACTCATGCAAGGCTCACCCTTTAATCCTGGCACTTGTACTCAGGAGGCAGAGGTAGGCAGACCTCTCAGTTCCAAGACAGCTGGGGATACACAGGAAGGCCCTGTCTCAAAAATAAACAAATAACTCAACCTAAGTCAGTCATGTTACTGTAAACACTCAGCTCATCCTCACTTCAAATTCCCTTACACTGCTCTTCTTCCAACACACCCTTCACTGGACACGCTGTATAAATTCCTGACTGGAATCTCCCATGTTCATTCTGTGTGTCTGCTTACTAAACACAATAACCAAGGCAGGCATCCTAATGGGTTTGGGTTTGGAGTTTTTTTGGGGGCGGGTGGGTGTCTTTTTTCATGTTTCCTGTGTCCTGAGCTACACAGTGAGACCCCACCTCAAAATTTCATAAAGAGGGCTGGGAAGGAGAGAACCAACACAATTTATGGGCTAACAGACATGTTGCTTGGTGAACATTCTTCCATATCATGTTTAATGGCTAATCAGTAGATGACTATACGGCTAAATCATGTCTTTTATTGGACATTTGGACAGTAACTACCTCGACCCTATTACAAATGCTGCAATGAAAGTCTGACAGGTGTGTGTGTGTGTGTGTGTGTGTGTGTGTGTGTGTGTGTGTTGGTCCGAGGATAGCTGGGTCGTCTAGTCTCACTCCCACCTCGCTTGAGGCAGGACCTCTCTTGTTTCTGCTGCTGTGCCATGCAGCTGGCATTGAAGTGAACGAGTGATTCTCCTGCCTCTGTCTCCCATCTCAGGGTCCAGGGATAACAGATGGCCACGCTCCACTTTACATGGGTTCTGGGGGTCGGAATCCAGGCCATCAGGCTTGTAGGGGAAGTGCTCTTCCGCACTGAACCATCTTCTCGGCCTAATGTAAAATGCTATCACGTGATTCACTTCTTTGAGAAATACCCTAGACATAAAATTGCTGAGGGAAAAGATTCACTTTTCTGGAGGGAAGAGGTGAGTCGGGATCTCACTCTGTGGACCAGACTAGCCTGGAGCTCGCTGTGGGGCACAGGCTATTGTCCTCTTGCCTCAGTCCAGGAAAATGGGATTGCAGGTGTGTTCTATTACCACACCAGCTTTATAGGTTTAATAATAATGTGCTATCCTGCCCCTGCCAACCTCCTCACACCTCACCAACATGAGTTATCCATGAATTGAAAAGGTACATAAACTTGAGTTTGTAGGAACATGGTCGTGCCTTTAATGAGCTTAATTGCAAGACAAAAAAAAAAAAAACTTGCCTCACTGGACTCCTGGGAGGATCAAGTGGACACTGGCGAGCAAATTATGTAGCTCCCTGCTTGAGGCTCTCAATAAAAGTTACTTTACCCTTACACTTTCCATCATTATTGTAACTTTAAAGAAAACAACTACAAAGTGCTGGCACATTATTACAGAAATGCCAGCCCATAAAAGTACTTTTAAGTGCATCTTAATTTAACCTCTTTCTTCAGGGTTAACATCCTGCATGGAAATAGAAATATTCCTAAGCTCAGTGTGCAGCTGGGAGGACATCGTTTTATCCTAACCTTGGCTTCTGTTTTTCTTTCTGACAGCAGCAAACAGAAGCAAGCCTTCCAAAACCATGGAAGCAGAGTGCGGGCAGGTCACACCCAGGTGCGTCCTGTTCTCCCTGGCAGCCCCGTCCCAGTCAGACCAGCTGGGGAGCACAGAGTCAAAAGAGGCTTCACCTGGAGACGCCCAGAGTTGAGATCTGGGCTTAGAAAAGAACACAATGGCAACTTCCTTTACACATCCTGGAAAAAACCAGTGGCAGCTGCTCCCGCCTCCCTTTGACGTGGACGTGAACAAACTGGGCGACTCCCCGCGCGGGCGCACAGCGCTACAAGAACAGGCCGGTGGCCAGACAGACCGACACACAGACAGGAGACCTGAAGACACCCCATCAGACAGACACCGACACACACACACACGATGCAGCCAGCGCCCTGCAAGGCCAGGCCAGGCCTAGGGACCACTGTGAGGTGCTGGCCCTGGAGGCGCGCACCCCAGCCGGGGTCCCAGGACCTCCCAGCCTCTGCCTGGGGTCTCTGCACACCGCGCCACCCCGTCCCCAGTCCCCCAGTGCTCAGTGCGCGCGCAGGGACGCCCCCGCCAGACGCGCGACACACCGGGAGCCCGGATGCCGCCGCGGACGCGGAGGCCCGCACCCCGGACTGCGAACACGACAGATGCCCACGCCCCGGGTCCGGGTCGGACCCCGCAGACACCCACCGAGCTCCTCGCATCCCGCCGCCTCCGCCGGCGCCGGCGCTTCCATCCCTCGGGGGTCTCCAGGTCGCCGCCGCCCGCTCTGCCGCCCGCACTGCCGAGCATGCGCAGAGCCGCCCCGAGGGGCGGGGCCCGGGCCAGCCTCGACCGCAGCCCACGAGGGACTGCGCCTCGCGGGGTGACAGGCGCGATTCCGAGAGGCCGGGGAATCTGAACCCCGGGCTTCGCGTGCCGGAAAACGGGGCCTCGGGCCGCGCAGAAAGCGGGCAGCCTGCAACTCCGACGGTCGACGGTCGGCCTTCCTCCATCCCCGTTTACACTCTCAGCATCTTTTTTTTTTTTTTTTTTGGTTTTTTTTTTGGTTTTTTTTTTGGTTTTTTTTCGAGACAGGGTTTCTCTGCGTAGCTTTGCGCCTTTCCTGGAGCTCACTTGGTAGCCCAGGCTGCCTCGAACTCACAGAGATCCGCCTGGCTCTGCCTCCCGAGTGCTGGGATTAAAGGCGTGCGCCACCACCGCCCGGCCACTCTCAGCATCTTAAGGAGAGCTGAAGCTAGGGTTGAGGCAAAGGGAGGTGCCCCGCGCTGTCAAGCACTGCACACATGGCCGCGTGGTTCTGTGGGCACCGGAGAGACGGCGCGATGCTGGAACCCACTGTGCTCACTGTCCACGCACAGGGATGTCACCTCACCACCCACAGTGAGCCAGTGAAGGACAGCATGGAACCGCCACTGCAGCGGGGACTCCTGGCCTGCACGCAAAGCTGGCCTCTCGTGGACCCCAATAAATACATGGTGAATCCACAGGGGAAAAAACACGCTTCTGATTAGAAAAATATTTAGTTTTGAGACTGAAGACTGTGTGGTGGCTTACTCAGGTAATCCAACGCTGGGAAGAAGAAGCAGGCAGGTTTCTGTGAGTTCAAAGCCAGCCTCTGCTACATAGAAAGTTCCAAGACACCCAAGGCTACATGCACAGACCCTGCCTTACCATAAAATTAAAATTTGAAAGAATACCACGGTGGCACATGCCTGTAATCCTAGCACTTGGGAGGATGAGGCTGGAGTTTAAGGCTATCCTTAGTTTTATGTGGCTTTTGAGGCCAGCCTGAGCTGCATGAGATTTTGTCTCAAAAAAAAAAGTAAGTAAACAAATAACTTAGAAATTACTGTCAGGACATCACACAAAACTTTTTGTTTCTTGTCTGCGTTTTGGAGTCAGCTCAGGAAAGAGGTGTGTTTGTTTCAGTGGGAACAGGGCAGTCTGGGTTCAGGCCACTAATAAAAGCTCAGTGTGTTAGATATTTAAACTTCCCAGATTAAGAAAGAGCCAATTCGTCTCAGACCCACATCTTTCCTCCTCTTGGAAATCCTCAAGGTTTTCATCCGATAACTAGGCACAGTAAAACTTTTGCTCACACCCTGTTTTCCCCTGAAAACACATACACATCACAGGAAAACCCCCATTTTCCACAAATAGCACAAATGTAGCAGAGATGGTGAGCTCCTGGGGCCTGGGTCCCTGGGCTGCAGGGCAGCTGAGGTCTGTATTAGAAGTGATAGCCTGTGTTTACCACTGTGTTAAAAGCATCAAAAGCCATTGCCTCTTAGTGATGGCACATGGGGAGACTAGCCGGACTATCCTGCAAGGCTTGGTTAAGACGGGCTTCCAGACTGGTTTTCATTCCTGTGATGTGAGAAAAAAACCAGTGATGAGGAATCAAGAGAACTGTGCTATCGTACATCATTGCTTAAAAACACACTTCCTTACATCACTCTTGCTCCTGGTCTTATGAATTGAGGCAGTAGTCCCCTACATCTCAAGACTGACAGAATGCCTGCAACCATGAGTGAAATAAACACTGAACCCTATGAAAGCAAACGTAAGACAGGGTTTAACTGACAAAACAAAAGACGTGTGAGATCGGTGTTGGGGCATCGGCGTTGGGGCATGGGCTTCTTCCTAAGGGTCACTTGAACACAAGCTCTATGGTACCACGATAGTAGATAAGATAAACCAAGACACTGAGTAAGTATTGGGAAGGTACTGTATACAGCATGGATACTCTACAAGAAGAGCAGATTCACAAACCTGCAGAGGAGGGTCCTCAGTGTGACACTTCACCACAGTGCTCAGAGTGCGGTTTGAAATTTGTGGCTTCCTCTTTGTTGTTGTTTTGCTTTATTTTGTTTTTTGAGACAAGATTTCTCTGTGTAGCCCTGGCTGTCCTAGAACTTGCTCTGTAGACCAGGCTGGCCTTGAACTCACAGAGAATGATTTCTTTATTTCTAAGATTTTTCTATTAACTATTTTCAGACCACAGCAGACAGGGAGTGACTACAGACTTGAGAGGCGAAATCACATATAAGGAAGCACACACTAGTCCTTGCCACCATAGGAACTGCGACCACTGCTGTAGTTGAAGGTGTAGAATGTCACTGCCTCCGTCCACATGGAACTGAAGGTGCCTTATACAGCAAGCCAGAGAGAGTGGAGAAGCTGGGGAGAGAGGGGGGAAGAGAAGGGGAAGCTGACAGATCTTAACTGCTGATGTAGAAAATGACAGTGTTGCTGGTAGAGAAGCCTCTTCAGACCGTGGAGGTTGAACAGTTGGACTCTGCTTCGGGAAGAGTTGACCAGGCATGTGTATAGAGAAGACCATTCCAGCTCGCCTGTTAGGTATTGCCTATTTTGTGTTTTCACCATCTGCTGATTTCCCGGAAGGAGGAGCAACCTCCTCCCCATCTTCTGAACATCGAAGGTGTCTGACGGGTGGACCTAGGAAACACAACGACGGTGCCCTGGGAGATTCCTCACTGGGGCTAATAACATGCCCTTCACTGCCATGTCTCTGTTTACTTAGCTCTTTAGGACTTCTCAAGCTGAAAACCAAGAAAAAAGATGTGTGAATTTAACTTATTGTGAAAAGGCTTCACACTGTCCTCACATAATTGTCTATAAACACATTGCATCTGCTGTCTTAGTTGGGGTTTCTGTTGCTATGATAAAGCACCATTGGCCAAATGCAGCTTGAGGAGGAAAGAGTTTATTTCACCTTACAGCATGGAAGTCCATCACTGGGGGAACCCAGGACGGGAACTCATGGCAGGAACCTGGAGGCAGGCACTGGAGCAGAAGCCATGAAGAGGTACTGCCTGTTCACTCTGCTTTCTAACAGCACCCAGAAACACCTCCTCGGGAGTGGCACTGCCCACAGAGAGCTGGGCCCTTCATCAATCAAGTCAATAGACTTGTCTACAGGCAGAAATGGAGGCATTCTCTCAATTGAGGTTCCTTCTTTTCAGATGTCTAGAATTGTGTCCACTTGGCAAAAATACAGCCAGCACATCCACAAAACGAAAATAGAATGAGATGAAAAAGAGAATAATGTGGGAGCAGGAAGCAGAACCAACAGACAAGGAAGAGTTAAGTATAGGATCCACCCAGCAGATCTGGAATCTTAATTCAGACAGACAAAGGGGAAGGAAAACCAGGAATCACACATCGGGACTGAAGAACACTATCATTGAAAGGCATTTGTTCAGAACTGAGCAGACCCCTAACTGCCCAATACAGCAGGTGACAGCCAACTTAAGCCAACACAGATTATCATAAAACTTTAGAATAATGAACACAACAGAAAGACGCTGAACGTTGTGCTGCCAGTTTAAAGACTAAAAGGCAATGGGGGGGAGCCCCCTTGGCTTGAAGCTCGCCTGCCAACTCAGAGCAAACGTCAAAGGCTAGCGCTCCATGAAACACTGAATTCCACTTTTTCAAGGAAAGCACACCCAGCTAAAACTCTATCCAAACTGTGGATACAGTGAAAGAAAAACACAAACACGCTTTGATATAACATAAAAGCTCAGTCTGACCATCTCATGTGCTCTGTCTTAGTGATGTCTGGAAGAACGCTTTACCAGAATGAAGGAGTAAACCTAGTTAGAAGACATGGCAACCAAGAAAGCAAGACTCCTAGGCAGATGAGGAAGTCCTAAGAGATCCCAGACCACAGTTGCACCTGGAGAGATGTCCGTCCATCTGGAGCACCAGGAAGGAATGAAAGAAATGGTGAAATTAAGGAATATTCTGAAATTATAAAATTGGGCAAAAAGACATTTTCCTCCTTTTGGAGAACATCAAAAGACTTTGCTGCAGACATGACAAAAGCCAAGCAGCAGGACAAGGTGAGGGGCCGGATAGACACATGGACAGCAGCTCTAATTAATACAATGTTGATAAAAAGAAATAGAGGAAAGTATAAGCAGAGCACATAATATACCTTGGCCATGAGTAATACACACACAGTCACATCCCAATAGATGATGAACAAATGCGTCATGATTCTGCAGATGCTGCCTGATATAAAGAAGCTAAGTTCTTACTTTTTATAGTTATGGGGAAATGGTGATAAACAAAAGGGAAAAATTAGTGTGTATCTTTCTTGAAGTGTGGAGGCAAATACAAAATGAAGTTCCTGAGAGTTTAGAGCAGTAGCCTCTCAAAACAGAATTATAAGTAGGCAAGACTCCATCTTTTATTATAAGTCCTATTGGATTTTAAGCTATGTACATGGTTTAAAAAATGCTAAATTCGGTGGTGCATGCCTTTAATCCCAGTACTCGGGAGGCAGAGGCAGGCGGATCCCTGTGAGTTCGAGGCCAGCCTGGGCTACCAAGTGAGTTCC